TTCTTCTGTTCTGTGGAAATTCAGAGTAAAATTTCTTTTAAAGGTGTAGTTATGTTGTTGCTTTTACATGCCTCTATTTATTACTTGGCATTTCATGCTCCCTCCAGTTTGTCTGGGGTAATGAAGTTGCGTAGGTGAGCATAGGGACAGGTGAGCCTCGAGGCTCACACGTACCTTCCCTGTGCGTCGGGAAGCTGGGCAGTCGAGGTACTGCCTGCTGTGAGTAACAGGCTTGGAAAGAGGAGGAAAAAAGAAATATATTTTTGAAGTGAACAAAAATCCTTTGCAGCCTTCTCCACTTGCCTCCTAGTTTGCTGCCTTCTCATGGGTGCAGTTGGCTCTCTGATTAGGGCTTTCAGTGTAACCCACAGTTTGAGAAATACCCGTTTTCAAACCTGTATCCAGCTGCTTTCTTCATCCAAACTAACCATGCAGTGTTCGGTTTCGGTTGAGGATGGGATCTGTTGCAGGCTCACGTTCAGAATCCCGTTCCTCCTGAGGTCTTTGGTCGCTCCACTTAAACTCCTAAATGTTCTTAATTGAGCCTTGCTTGGTTCATGTTTCTTCGGATTCATAGAGCAGAGAGCACTTGAGTTATTCCACGGGGCAGTAGGGCTAGGTGAGGAAAAAGCTGCATGCTATAAAAACCTCTCCATTAATACTCTGGATTCCTATAGGGTACAACAGTAGGAATCCATATAGTCTAGAATCAAGAGGGGAAAAAAAAAATGTACACCTTGCTCAGCTCTCTCTTCAGCTCATCTGGACTCATAAATTTGTTTTGCAGTTTAGCAGCGGTGATATCAGTGCTGCCCTCCCTGCAGGCAGTGTTTTTAAATCAGTTAAATGAAGATCTTTTGCTGCTCAGGCCACTGGCTAGTGTTGATATTGTTTTGCTGACAGACAAATATTAGAGAGGCCTTGAAGTTTCAACCACCTTGTTATGGATCTTCTGTCTTTGTCAGTTCAAAGCAAAACAAATCCTTTAGAATTGGATAAACTGTATATTGCAAATAAGTTTAAGAATTTGAACTTTAATTGCATAGAGCTTTAAAGTTTAAGGATGTCTATAAACAAGTTTTTGTTTTTTTCAGGTTTAAATGGAACATGCAATAATTCTAGTGTACCAACATCAACTTCAGAAATGCCAGATTATTTATTGTAAGTATATTTATCAGTTGCTTCATCACTTTGGGATCATATTTCAAGCTAAAAATCACAACGTACTGGGGATTTTTGTTGGACTGTAGTGTTACTCAATATAACCTTGTCAGGTGGGTTTAAAAAAAAGAGTAAACCCAACTTTGCAAATAGTTTCTGAGACTAAACTAAGATCTGTTCCTTACCTCCTTGTGGAGTTCAAGGTTTTCTTCCTGTAAACCAATTCTTAAAGAACTTCAAGAAACATAGCATACCTTGAAGGGGTTTGAAAGGATGAAACATCTCCAGGTTACAGTTGGAAACTTTGAGAGGGAAGGATCTGCTTTAATGTTACGGAAGACAGGGCAAGAAAGGATTTTGAGAGGTTAGCTAATTCTTCCCCTGTTCAGAGCCAAGATTATCTCCATAAACCAGTGAAATATTCTTTGTAGGGAGGTTATAACCCATGGGTTAGGATGTGAGTTGTTTCACCTCTTGACTTTTTAATCAGATCCCCTTGAGGTTAATTAACCAATATACTTGTCTGCTGAAGCACAAAAACCCCTGTGCATGAAGCCAAAAATCTGCACCAAGCCAAACCTGTTACAAGCAAAGCTCTATGACAGCAAAGAAGTGTAGCTGTGGGTGATATTCCCTGTGCACGTCTCAGCCTGGGTTTTTAATGCCATCGGATCTGGCTTGGCTGTGCTGCGATCACTCGGAGCGAAGAGATGGAGGAGGAGGAGGAGGCGGCATCTACTCTTGGCTCTGCAGGAGCAGTCACTGGAGGTGACTGGAGGATATGGAGGGCTCTGGTGTGGTTACAAAGCTGTGGTTTGCTGGGCTGTATGAGCCGTACAAACCACTGCTTCGAGTCGGCATTTCTAGTACCGTTCAGGAGAACACGGATGGCTGGGGGGGTTTCTTGCAATAAATGTGCTGATCCCCCCCCCCATAAAGGGATATTGCAGCTCCTCAGTCCATCTCCGAAGAAATCCTGTAAGGTTTATGAACTCCTGTAAGGTCTGTTGTCTCACTTCTTGGTATGATCTGACTGTTTTGATGGTCAGCTCCTTAAACTAGAAGAGTTGTCTCTGCTGTTTTGATTGTAGATACATGCTTCATACTATTGAGGACAACTTCCTAATCTCATAGTAGTGTGTCCTCTCTAGATGCTTATTTATACCGATCCCTAGCAGACTCAATTCTTGAAGGCTAGAGCACATTTAGATTAAGAGTGGAAGTTTTCCCTTGATTTCATACCTAAGTTATCTTATACACGTTCATGTGCTGAGCTGGCACTGTTGCAGACGGAGTAAGGGGGCAAGTTAGAGTCGCCACCTACAAAAAGATGAATTTTGCCTCAGAGAACACTGGCAGCTGGGCTTTCTGCAAAATGTGAGGTTTGATGGCTTTCTGTGGAGCTAAATAGCTTCCAAAGGCCTCAAAGGTGCATCTGTTAAACACGAGCTGTCATGTTCGGTACCCGTTGGGTATCTTCAGAAGGTAGTGGAGGTATATTCAGTCCATTCAACATGGTTTCTTGTGTGCTTGCCACGTAATTGTACTGCGAGCATTTTGCAACGATAGCTGAATGCTTTTTGTGTTCTTTTAAAGACTCTTAACACTGGAAGCATCGTATTCCAAAAAGTCTGGCACAGATGCAGTACTCCATGTTCTGTGGGACAGCAGGAGTTAGAAAAGCTGTAGCAGTGCTATCTGAATGTCCTCCTACACCCTCAGCTGCTCACAGGCTTTGCTGTACCTGCATGTTCCACCCTATCTGGCATAGATAGGAAATTCCGGGAGCAAGCATTGTCTTTATCTTACGCAGAGGTCAAGGCAATAATCCTGACAGTTACAATGCAAATTGTAAGAGACTGTGTTTGTTCTCGAACGCAGTCACCTAATAGCCTTACCGTCCTGGTTTTGGCGTTGCAGTATTCCTGCTGTCTGGGGTGAAACTATAAACCGATTAACTAAATTATTCTCCCTCCAGAAAATACGCAGCCATTTCCTCTTCGGAGCAGCGTCAGAGTTACAAAAATGACTTCAATGCAGAATACAACGAGTACAGAGACTTGCACGCCCGGATAGAGAGGATAACTCGACGGTTTACGCAGTTAGACGCCAAGCTGAAGCAACTTTTGCAGGGCTCTGACGAATATAAGGTAGAAACAGAAAATATATCTTTTGAAAAGCTCGTTCTGCAAGCAGCAACGCTACTCCTTGTTACTTCAGTCGTTCTGTTTGGGGTGGGTTGGTGTCTAAAACCTACTGCCCAGAGCCCAGAACTGGTGGATGCAGAACGTGCACACAGCTGACAGCTTTGTAGACTGTTCTTAAAACAGCTCTGTGTTCTTTCATTTTCAAGCTGGAGCACACATCATGGTACTTGTTGACAAGGAAAGGCCTCAGTGAGACAATTGGTGTCGTTAGCCAAAAGCTGCTGGAAGCTATTAGTGTATCCCAGCCAGAAAACTCATATTCGCACATATGGTCGCGTATCGGGGCTGGAAGGGGAGTTAGCACGGGGTCATCTGTTCCTCTGGAATCTTTGATCTTAATAATGTAGCATTATTCGACTTGTCAGACTGATTTTAAAAGGGCTTTAACTATGCTTTATCTTGAGAAAGTAAGTCTCATTGAGTATAATAAACAGATTTTTACAGAGCACCTATTGTACTAAGCACCGTTGCGCCCCTCAAACGTTGTTCCCCTCTCTTTGAGAAATTCGGTGATTCCTCGCTGAATTATTTTTATATCCTGGGGAGAATTTAGTCTGAGCTGTGGAGGAAATGTCAATTATCCTGCCAACCCAAGTGCCTGTTACAGATAGTTGTCATGGCTGGGGAATGGGACCTGATCCTTCCAGTGGTGTCGGCACCAGAATAGTCACGGAGACAGTGAGGCTGGTTGTAGCCATCAGATCTCACGGAGGGGGTAGATTTTGGTTGGTGTTTGGAGGAAGCCTGTATGTCGAGCCATCAGTAAACGCTTGCCTGCTGCAGTAGATTGCAGGACTGCTGGTTCTCTGGAAAGTAATAAGCTATCTTTTCCTTTTTAGACCATCCATGATCAAATTTTACAGGAATA